CAGCCTCAAAAATAATATTTTACTGCTCCATCATTATCTGACCTCAAATTAATTTTTTTTCACACAAGGCTATTCAATAGTTTAAACACAATTTGCAGAAAAGACCAGTTTTCCCTAGTTAATTGACTTTGTACCTTTGTTGAAAATGAATTGCTCATATAGATGGGGGACTGTTTCTAGAATCTCTCTTGAGCTTCAATATCAAACTGTCTTTGAAAAAAACTAATCTTTTTAAAAAAACTAATCTTGAAATTAGGAAGTATGAGTCTCCAACATGGTTCTTTCTTCTCCTCCTCCTTTTTTCCCCCCCCAAAGGGTGCATGCACTTGCCAGGGAGAGACAGACAGACAGAAACAGAATGAGAGGGAGAAAACACCCCATAATAAGGTGTGGTCAAGCCACAATCCTTTCTTCTCCATTTTTCCATCCTGTCATTACTTAGAGAACACATGCACACACCCCCAGAATGCTTTTCAAGCTGCTGAAGCCAGAACTTGAACTAAACAGTTAGTCATGTGAGATCCAGTCACCTTAACTAGTAGGCCAGAGGGTTGGCCAAGTTCTTCTTCTTTTTTTTTTTTTTTTTTTTGAGAGGTTTTTACTATAGTGCATTTGCGCTCGCCAGAAAGATAGAGAGACAGGGAGAGACAGAAAGCAAGAAATCAATCCCAGGGAGATGGCCACGCCACAATCCTTTCTTCTCCCTTCTCCTCTCGGGATCTTGGGCACACATGCACATGTGCCCGGCATGAGTTTAAGCCACCGGGCCCAGGAACTGAGCCATGGTTGACTACATGGAAATCTGGCAACATAGCCATTACATCAACCAGTGGTCCCAAGTTCTTCTTCTTTTTAAAAGCTCTAAATTCTTCGCATTTCTGTATAAATTTTATAATCAGTTTGTCAGTTTCTACAAAATGTCTGCTTAATTTTTGTTGGTATCCAGCACTTTGACTACAATTCAATTTGAAGTGAATTACATTTTAATAAGTCAGTCTTCTCTACATCAACATGGTATAACTATTTATTTAGGTCTTTACTTAGCAACATTTTTTAGTTTTCAATATATAACTCTTTCACATCTGTTGTCTCAGTTACGTGAGGTGTTTATTTGTTGCTATTGTAAATAATACTTTAAAATCTCAATTACAGATTGCTGTAAGTATAAAGAAATACAATTGATTTTTGTATAGTGACCATGTATCTTACATTTGTTTAAGCTCACATTTTAGTCCTACTAGTTTCTTAAACAGATTTCATTCGGTTTCCTTTAAAAACAATCATGGTGTTTATAAATAAAGACTGTTTAATTTCTTCTTTTTCAATCTAGGTAACTTTTTTCTTTTGCCTGACTGCACTGACTAGAATCCAAGTACAATGCTGAATAGAAATGGAACATGAATTGTAAGCTCTTTCCAGTCTCACTGATAGGAATAGATACATCCCTAATCCAAAAATTTAAGTCCGTAATCCAAATATTTGAAATCCAAAATGCTTCAAATTTCAAAACTGTTGAAGAGTCACATGATATGACAATTGAAAAGTTCCACTCCTTACCTTATCTGATGGTTGCACTAAAATTGATTAAATACAAAAGTATTGTATAAAATTATTTTCAGCCTATATGTGTAAGGTGTATATGAAATTTTGTGTTTAGACTTGGGTTCTATCTCAAGATATCTCATTATGTACAGTATATACGAATATTCCAAAATCTGAAATCCTAAACAATCTAGTCCAAACCTTTCAAATAAGGGATTCACAACCTGTATTTCCTTTGTGTTTGAGTATTTCTTCTGATCTCAGCTGGTTCTTTACCTATAATTTGCTGAAGGAAATGCTGTAGATCTCTGAAATTTTTTCTTTCTTTCTTTCTTTCTTTCTTTTTTTGGAGAGGTTTTTGCTATAGAGTACGTGTGCTCGCCAGAGAAATAGAGAGAGACAGAGAGACAGAAAGTGAGAAATCACCCCCCAGGGGGGATGGCCACGCCACAGTCCCTTCTCCTCTATTCTCCTCTTGGGATCTTGGGCACGCATGCACAGGTGCCCAGCATGAGTTTAAGCCACCAGGTCCAGGACTCTAACCGTGTTGAACTACATGGGAGTCCAGTGACATAGCCATTACACTAACTGCTGGTCCCTGGAATTCTTTCTTCATAAGCTGTAGCTGCTTTGGTTTCCCTGGTTTCTAATCTCCATCACCCCTGCTCAGAAAGCTAACCGGTTTCCTCCTAGGTTTCCCCTTCCTTAACTATAGTCTGTAAACATAGGGCAGTGAATGAATGTGAGTATCGGGTACACTTGATTTGCTTCCCATATGTCAGATGTTCTTTTTTTCATTGTTTTATATCTCTTGTCTTAAAAGCATTGCTTCATTTATTTTTCATAGTTTTGTTGTTTGTTGTTGTTTCAAGCAGGAGGTTAAATCTGGTGCTTGTAATTTTATCTTGTTTGAAAGTAGAAATCTAAGGTTTTGACTGACTAATTATTATCTTTTAAAGCTTCGCTTAAACATTTTCTCTTTGGAAAACTCCGTCTCTGAAAATACTAAAAAACGGGTCTACCTTTATTACTGTATTTTAATTTTTTTGAGAGGTTTTTGCTATAGGGCACATGTGCTCATCAGAAAGAGAGACAGAGAGACAGCAAGCAAGAAATCACCCCCCGGGGGGATGGACACAACACAGTTCCTTCTCCTCCATTCTCCTCCCAGGATCTTGGGCATCCAGTTTAAGCCACTGGGTCCAGGACTTGAACCACGGTCAACTACATGGGAGTCCAGCGACATAGCCATTACACCAACTGCTGATTCCCTGTATTTTAATTTTTGCCATCATAGCATAGCCATCCTTTCCAATTCTAATAATTTAACTGTGGATTTCCTTATATATATATATTTTTTCTATTATCAATTAAAGGAAAAGACCATAATTGTTTCACTCATCATGGTATACTTCATATCTAGAAAAAATTTTGACACAGGAAGTGTTCAAAAACTATTCTTCAAATGAATGGATTTCCCATTTATTATTTACCATAATTTATGATGATTCTTGTTCCTTAAAGCATTCCTTCTTTTCTTTCTTTTATGCACACTACTTTGTAGACTTTCTCTATTGCTTTTTAATATATTTATCTATTTGCCTCTATTTGCTAGTTCTCTCCTATTCTTATCTTCTCCATTTATTTAATTTCTTCTTTGTTTTTCCAATGTGTTTTCAAGACCTGCTGAAAACTTTACACTTTGAAAAATCTATTCAGTAAAAGAGGAAAAAAATATCTGTAGCTAGGACTAGACTCTCCAAAACATTTTTGTTGCATACCTAGAAACTGATTCTAAAGCAAATTTTTCTGATAAAGCTCTTTTGTATGCCTAATTTTCAAAGTTCCTTGGATTCAAAGACATACTATTAGTTTTTAACTGGCAGAACTTCTGTCATTATTACAAATAGAGAGCACATTAAGCAATGAGGCAGGAGACTGAGCTTTAGCCCTAAATATTCCATAGATTGGCTATAATTCTGGAATAGTTATTTGACCTCTTTGTGGCTTAGTTTCATTTTTTATAATAATAATAATAATATATAATATTTATAGAAGTGTTTTTACAAACATGAACCCAGAAAAGTTACAAAACTCTCTAAAGGATGTAGGGATTATGATTTTTACTGTATATGTGAGAAAAAACTTGGAGTAACGAAATGCTTTACTTAATGTAAAAAAGTCATTAATAAGTAGACTGTTACCAGGCTGACTCCAGCAAACATTTTATGTAAAGAGTAAGAGTAAATATTTTAGGCTGTTTGGACCATATGGTTTCTATTGCAACTTCTCAACCCTGCCACTGTGGTGCGAAATCGGCCAAGAACGATATATAAATGAACGTGGGTCTATGTTTCAATAAAACTGTATTATAGAAAATAAAATTTTGTACAACTTTAAGATGTTAGGAAATAGCATAATATCTAATAAGTTCCTGCTTCACAAGCAGCAAAATAAAGATATCAATGCTCTCACACATAACATTAGGAGTAGAGACAGTAGGAAGCATCCAAAAAGGGTACTAGAAGTACTCTCACAAGAATTTTAAGGATTTCACAGGAACTTACTTTCTAAAGATAGGCTCACAAACCAGGAAAGTTTTAGGTTTTATAACTGTTATAATTTAATTACTATACTATGAACTGGTGAGGTGTGAAGAAATTCAGTTATAAACAATATACACGTGAGAGTATATATATGCATATTTTAAACAAATAGAAGGCCATCAAATATACATTGTAAAGTATCCCTTTTTAATGTATTAACATATGATAAAATTTCTTCATGTCAGTAAATATTTACTCATAGCATCATCTGTGCCTCCAACCACACACATCCTGAACCCCCACACTTTCTACACCAGCTGCTTACTCTAGCCATCTTCAGATGTGCATTTGCTATCATGGTAAATGTATATTATTCATGCATTTATTTATGACCTTAATTTTCAGTATTTGGTACCTAAAAATCACTATGGAAATGTGTGTTTGTGTATTTTATTTTAATAAAAAGCATCAGAAATTAGAAATAGTTATATTTTTAAAATGTAATTAATTACTTTAAGGAAGCAAATATCATGGCCCCAATTAGGTTTCCAAAATAAGAAAGCATTAAATTTTTATTTATACTGGTATATCAAATTTATTATTTACAAAAACACCATGGTTCTTCCTCCTCAAAACAAAAGATGACAACTCCTGAACTAATAGACATGATCTGCATAGTTTGCAATAAATGCCAAAACAATAGGTATGAGTGAATGGACACATGACAATAATGACTAAATATTTGAATAATAATTTTTCTTAAAATTATCAGATTGCACCTCCATAACAAAACAAAAAATAGCATGCACGCTGAATGTGTTTTTAGAAACACATTACTGAGCACTGATGTATGGATAGAACTCAAGCATTATGACTTTAAAAAGCTACTTGCCTAACCTTTATAGAACTTACTCTGATAAGAAGTACGGATCCGTTTCGTTAAATCAGGATAAAAGTTAGACAGGCCACGCATGCAAAAGTTGTCTTTGGAACATGCCAGAACACCAGCATCAGCAGCAGGCAGAGAAAAGAGAGAAAAATAATCTAAAGTGAAAGGAAGTGATATCATACCAGAATCTAGAACAGCCAAGATGAAGAAATTGCAGCAAGATTAGGTAATCAAATTAGAGAGGAGATATTAAAAAAATAAATCAATTAGAAAGTAAGAGGTGATAGATGAATGATGAGAATGCTATAGCAATTTTATTTAATCAAATATCTTATAAAATAGATGGCATATTTTTCTATATGTTTTTATACAGTACATTTATTTGGCTTATAAATAATATTTATAACACATCATTTTACCTCATCAATATTAAAATAACTATCTTTATCTTTAAGCAATTAAAAAGAAAGCTTGGGGATTTTAGACATTAATACATTCTTTTTACAATGTACAGTGAGTACTTTTGGTAGTCGTCTTGTACACTACATACAAACTGAGTTTACAATTTCATCAGTTTTTCCCATTTTAAAGTAATCAAAATTTAAGCCCTAGCTGTAATTATTGAGGCTCAACAAATTTAAATTACATAATTAGTTTTATTACTTTTGTCAAAACAAACATTTTTTCACCTTAATGTGCATATCCAGCAAGTAATTTAGATGCTGTCATAGGATCCACAACTTTCCTGATTGAATTGGTGCTTTCAGCATTGCAAATTGTGCCCATGATCCCCAATATCTTTCTACCCTAGAGTCCATGAACTTTGAAAAAATCAGCCTTCTCTTTCCAAATCATGAGGGAATGTTATGGCACACCTATATAAAATTTCTTTTATTCTATCTTTCTTGTAAAAACCAGTAGTGGCAGTGTCAGTTTTGTAGAATTTAAGCTAGCCAGCATTTTAAAAGTAATTGTTAAAAGTTGAGATTCTCTAACAACAACAAAAAAAATTCGGATTCTGAAGGAAAAATTTTGTTCTCCTAAAAAGGGCCTAAACAAGTAATTTAAAAAGGATTAGTATTAAGGTTTTAAAAATGGTTAAGGAAAAGGAGAATTCAGTATATCAAGTTTTATTAGTATAAAAAATTCACTCAATTATTTGTATATATATTGAAATATTAGTAAAACTTTAAATAATTTGGCATATTAAACTTTTGGTATTATATCCTAATTAATCTGAAGTCTCTTTTCTTTTATAGTAAATAAATCAATTTGTTGGTTCTACCAATTAAAATGTCATATTTCAGAGCATTTTAAATGTTAATAAATAATGTTCATTATATTGGTGAGTACACCATCAAGAAAGTAATCATCCAATTAGAAAAGATGACAACTACAATATAAAGTTAATTTTTAAAATTAAAAGTAGTGAGTGACCTAAAATTATCTTTAGAAATGGGCCAGATATATTAGAAGACAGTTAGTTTAATACAACCATAGCAAATATTTCATCTAGACAAGCCCTAATTTTCACAGCATTTTTATATTTAGAAACTTCATATTTTCTGTTATTTTTTAGGAATTCAAACTAAGAAACATGAGATGCTTCACTTCAACAGAAAATTGAAGTTTAAACATTTCCCTTCCTTTTTTGAAGTTTCTCACCCTTTCCACCCATTCATTTTACTTACATGATATTGTAAATTATGTTGAGTTTATATTGGCCATGCATTTGAATAGCATCACAGAAAAAAAACCAAAAAAAAAAAAAAAAAAGGAAAAAAAAGCTAAAAGAACACAGGTGAGCAAATCCAATCCTTAACTCATCTTGTTTTATCTCCTACCTGCAATGAACTGCTTGTTTTTTCGAGGAGACCGTGGTTGTCGCTGGTATAGGTCACTTGATCTATATAGGTCAATGGTCCCCATGCTTAACAGTACTGTCTTCTGTATAAAATCCACCACAGCCAACCCATTGCAGTTCCCAAATGCAACTCTGAGAGACAAAAAATATACAACTAAAATGTATCACAGAAGCATCGTTATATTTATATTTAAAATTTAAAAGTAATGCCTTAGTTTGGAGAGGTCTAGCGGTGATCAGGAAAAATGACTTGCTTTTACATAAAATAGTCTAATTTTGTATAATAGCCATGACCACTTAGTACAAAGTAGTTTATCATGGAAGTAGTGATAACACAGTCTACTCTTTAAATTTATCTTAGGCTTTCACAGAAGGATCATACAAATACTTTTTGCTATGCAGAGGGAGACAGGTCAATAATTGTCACCTTTTAATACCTACAGATGCTTAGGTATGTAATTAGATGATTTTTTTTCAAATAACATTATGATTATTACTTTCCAAATCAATTCTCTTCTTAATCAGAGAAAAAATATTACATCTGTTAAATTGCCCTTAAACTTTTTAAAATTTTAAAATTTATTTCTTCCATAAGTGTGAGAGAAAGAGAAAGGGAGAATGGGAGGCGAGCAGCAATCCCAACAGGGTCTTGCCAGTTCCAGATTCAGCCAGTCCCAGATGATGGGCATGTATATGACTAGAATACTCAGGAAGGTTTTGACACAAACCAAGAGCCTTATTCAGCCCAGTCTCAGAAAGCATAGGCATTTTTTTTTTTTTAAGATGTTTGCCCTAGAGTCCATGTGTTCACCAAAGAGAGTCAGAGAGAGACGAACGAAAGTGAGAAATCCTCTCCAGAGGGGATATACATGCTGCAATTCCTTCTCTTCCATGCTCCTCTTGGTATTTCGGGCACACAAGAGCATGTGCCTGGTGTGATTTTTAAGCTGCTAGATACAGGACTAGAACCATGGTAGGCCCTGTGGTAGTTCAGAGCCTTAATCACCATGCCACCTGCTGGCCCTGAGCATTGGCATTTTACCACTGTGCCAACATCTAGCCCCCATTAATAAATATTTAGGTAATTAAATTACTACCAAAAAGGCATTTTGGAAGATTCAACAGCTAGAGTTACAGACTCTGGTTCATAAGAGTGTTCTAGAAAAAAAGGGACAGGGAATGATAGGTGGAGAAAAGAGTAAAATGTGGATAGTTTTGATTATATTACCGGGAGGTAAATTATTTCAATGAAAAAAGAAGAGAGATTTGTTTTCTTCCTATTTCTTTCTTTTCTTTTTTTTTTTTTTTTTTTGAGAGGTTTTTGCTGTAGGGCGCATGTGCTGGCCAGAAAGACAGAGAGAGACAGAGAGAGAATAGAAAGCGAGAAATCACCCCTCGGGGGGATGGCCACATTGCGATCCCTTCTCTTCCGTTCTCCTCTCAGGATCTTGGGCACGCACACACACGCACCTGGCGTGAGTTTAAGTCACCAGGTCTGGGACTCGAATTGTGGTCAGCTACATGGGAGTTCAGTGACATAGCCATTATGCCAACTGCTGGTCCCCCGATTTCTTTGACAAGGAAAATTCAGAAGAAAATATCAACCATGAAGGAGATATTTTCAAGAATTAACTATGCTTATTAATCCCTTTTCAGTTTAATTGGTCAGCATCTACTTTAAATTCTATTAAATAACAAAAGTATCTCTTCTAGTTTGTATAAGAATCAATAACTTTTTAATTTTATGAATATTATATTTTCTTGAATATGCAAATTAATAAAAAATGTTAAATTCAGATGATATGGTCATTAAAAATCCTATAGAGATTCTGCTCTACTTGGCAATTATTAAACAATAATAATATATAAACACTTATAAAACATAAAATGACTGAAAATCAAATATTCGAAAAATATATTTCTTTCTTTTTTTTATAGAGAATTTTGCTATATAGAGTACACGTGCTCACCAAAGAGACAGAGAGAGACAGAGACAGAAAGCAATAAATCTCACACACACACACACACACACACACACACACACACACACACAGACACCCCACCCTGGGAGGATGGCCACTCCACAATCCCTTCTCTTCCATTCTCTTCCCAGGATCTTGGGCACGCCCAGTGTGATTTTTAGTCTCTTTCTCTCTCTCTCCAGCAAGCACACGCACCTTAAGTCTAAAACCTCTAAATAATAATAATAATAATAATAATAATTCCATTTGGGCTGGCTCTAAAGCTTACAGGAGTTAAGGGTGTTATGTCCCACATGTCTGACTGTGGCTCAAATCCCAGCGGCTTAAAAAACACACCAACTCGGAGCCAGCAAGTGGCATGGTAGTTAAAGTGCTAGATGCCCACATAGCTGACTATTTGAGTCCTGGACCTGGGAGGCTTGAAAATTACACTGGGCACATGTGCATGCATGTCCAAAATCCTAGCAGGAGAATGGAAGAGAAGGGATTGTGGCATGGTTATTCCCCCCACCCCACCCCACCCCCGTCTCTTTCCAGTAAGCACACACATCCTCTGGCAATTAAAAAAAGAAGAAATAAATAATTCCATTTACAATAGTATCAACATATTTTAAATACCTAGAGATAATTTTATCAAAACACATGAGAGAACAACATAGTTGCAAAACCACAAAACATTGCTGAGAGAAATTAAAAATGTCTAAATGGAATACTCTACTGTGTTTATGAATGAGAAGACTCAATAATATTAACATTCCAACTCTCTAAAAATTTATCTATGGATTCAATGACATTCAAATAATAGTCCCAACATGTTTTTTTTTCCTCTTTGTGTTAAGGATAAAATCAATAAGCTGAGTTTAAAATGTATGTGAAAATTAAAAACTGTGAATCCTAGCTAAATGCATACATGTGATGTTTGCAGTCCTGATCATAAGCAATTACAAAAGCTTTACTGGGCAAGCCTCAGGAAGAAAGCTGCCTTCCCCACACCAGACTTAGTACACAGCCAGGGAACTGCAGCCAGTGAACCTGCAATCAAGGGCTCATTCTTGTCTGGTTGTTTATGCTATTAAATATATTTACACTCATTATCCTAGTGTCTTCTTTCCTAGGTTTTCTTATCTGAGGCTTCAAGCAGAGGTATTCCTTCTTCAGATACTTCGATTGAGGCCTCCTTATTAGGGAATAGAGGGAATTCTAAAACATTTTTCCCCACCTGGACTTAGTACCCAGTGTTTTCTACTCTTTTTTCCTTGCCCCTTTTTCCTCCCCCAAGTCCAGGGTCCACAAAACTGCTGAAGTATATTGTTCTGGGGATACTCAACAGTAAGAAGACCCTTAAGTCTGCACTGATCCATCCACCCGCCCCTTAACTGATGAGTTTTATGAGGGAAAATGGAACAAGGGATAGGAGCTTGTGCTTTCTCACTTTCAGCTTGCTTACATTCACAGTGATTAAAGGCTTCCTGTGGCTCACAGTTACGTTAATCCATTTCTCCAACACCTGACATCATTTTTTTTAAAGAATTATTTAATTTTATTTATTAATTTTTTTAAATTTGCTGTAGGTCACATGTGCTCACCAGAGAAAGAGAGAGAGAGAGGGAGAGGGAGAAGGAGAGAAGGAAAGGAGAGAGAGGGAGAGGGAGAAGGAAAGTGAGAAAGCAAGCTGCCAGGTCTGGGACCTAAACAATGGTTGGCCATGTGGGAGTTTAGTGCCTTAACCACCATGCCACCTGCTGCCTGGACACATGACATCTTAGTTCTCTCTCCAGCTCAGCTGTCCTTCTGACAGAAATTCAAAACAAATCAAAAGATGTGGAAATAGTCTGCATAACTTTTAAAAAGTAGAGCTAATTTGAAAGACTTATTGCATTTCAAGACTTACTACAAAACAACATTCATCAAGACAGTGTGCTATTGGCATAAGCAAAAGGTATAGATTAATGGAACATAATAGAATGACCAAAAATGACCCCCACTCAGTCTTCACAAATATGGTAAAATTTAGTGGAGGAACAAAGAATCTTTCTATAAAATCATACTTGAATAAGTAAATATATGAAGAACAACAGAAAAAGGAAACAAATTCTTATATGTTATACTCAAAAATTAATTTAAGGGACCAGCAGTTAGTGTAATGGCTATGTCACTGGACTCCCACGTAGTTGACCGCAGTTCGAGTCCCAGACCTGGTGACTTAAACTCACGCCAGGCGTGTGTGCGTGTGTGCCCAAGATCCCAAAAGGAGAATGGAGGAGAAGGAATTGCGGCATGGCCATCCCCCCGGGGGGGTGATTTCTTCCTTTCTGTCTCTCTGTCTCTCTCTGCCTGTTTGGCGAGTGCATGCGCCCTATAGCAAAAACCTCTCCAAAAACAAAAAAAAAAGAAAAATTAATTTGAAATTAATCATAGACCTAAACTTAGGTGCCACTGCTACAAACTCTTAGGGGGAATAAGTGTCTAGTGTAGGCAAACTATTTTTTTTAAAGATGAATTCCAAAAGAAAAATAAAATCAATAAACTACTTCAAATTAATTTTTTTCTCTCACTCTGTGTACTGATAGTGCCTAGAAAAAATGACATCAGTAGCAAAGAGTATCTTTTCTGTCCAGATATTAATTTCTCTAATAAATTAAAAACAAAACAAAGCAAAAAAGCCTCCTTGCAGAAAAGCTGATCCCAGGGCTATGAGTTTTATAAGATAATTGTGGAACATCATATTGTACCAGAAAAATATGAAATTTCTGAAAAAAGAAACATATCCAACGAATACAGTAGCTATAATGATGAATTTTATATGTCCAAATGTGGGACAATTCGAGCACTGAAATAGGTCTTACTAAATAAAATACAAATCTATGATTTCATATTGATATAAATAATGAATGTGTATAGGACAGGAAATTATTCTCCCTTAATAATAGCACATTTATTTATAAATATAGAAGGAATAATGCAGTTAGAGAATCACCAAGGGATGCTAAAACTAATGGTTAAAGTTAGGTGAGTAAAATATTAACATAATTTTAAGCATCTCCCCATCAATTAATTATTATTTAAAAATGAAAATAACAACTTTATAGTAGAGAAACCTGGTAGACATCACCTTAACTAAGTAAACAAAAGTAGCACCACTAGGTCCTG